AAAGCCATATTAAACGCAGACTACTTTAGACCCGGAAGTAGGATTCGTCGCGTCATCACTGAACAACCGGATATTCATGCTAGCATTTATGGCGCCTAAAACACATTTATGATACACACATACTACACACTTATAACATCTTACAAAAACAGGCTTAATAATGACAATAACTGAACTAAAATCGCAATCATAAACATCAGGGTGGCTAAATATGAATTATGTGTGTTTTAAGGTGTTGGAAAGAAATGACACCCACCTCTCCCACAGGGGAATTGTAGAAAAAGGGGAGACGCAAAAGGGGTACACTGTATTTATAGTATTGCACCAAAGAAGAAGAAGAAAAGAATGAGGAGGGGCTCTAACTGATAATGAACACAACTACAGGCTTGGAGGTCCTAAAAGTCAGGTATAAAAGGAGCAGTTTGGGGGTTTAGAACACATTTTGTGTAATTATAACAATGTGATTTATGACCCTGTTACAAAAGCACTAATGACTGACCTGCAGCTGAAGCAGCCACACCTCTGTGTGACATCATGAACACCGGAAATTACACCTGTTTTCACCTGCCGCATCTGCAGAATGAGATTTAAATTCTTATGGCTGTTTTTAGCCTTGGTACTCTGAGGGGGCTAAACTCGCGGGAGCTCCTCATGTTTGAGTCTGCAGCAGGTGGGCTTTCTCACCGTCCTCCAATCACAGATCATTTCCACTCCTGAAACTGAAGCAGGCCGAGAAACGTCATCAAAGGTCAGACACCTGGACCTGGTTAGATCTGAGGCTCTGACCCAAACATCCAGACAGCTGATGGTGATGAAGATGTAGGCTTCACATCATCAGTGTGTTAATCCTACCGAGTGCCTCCGCAGAGGCACAGCAACCAGACCGTTTTACTCACTCACCGCTCCGACGAACACCTGCACAAACAAACATCTGCACAAATAAACAAACATCTGCACTCTCAGTGCTGCTGCTCCTGCTCGCAGATGTTCGGAGGAGGAGTGAACATGCTCCCTGTTCTTGCTTCATGAGTAACATCACATTTTTGGCACATTTTTCGTCGCAGTATTGGACGAAAACAAATCAAAGAACATTTAACGCTGTAATTTCAACGTTTTCACGCGTGCGAGGATGTTTAATTGACACTTCTCCTTTAAGAGAGCTTTTCCTTTAACACACCTGACCACACCTGAGCTGGACTTCCGGGTCTTTCACAAAGAGAAGAAACAACAACAAGTCGGCGGAAGAGAGCCGGGACCAGGATTAAAACCAGGATTAAAACCCGGCCCAGGTCTTCAGCGAACAGGTGGTTTTTTCTTAGTGTGAATTTCCGCTCCGTTAGCATGTAGCCTGTTAGCTCGGAGCTCAGTCACAGTTTTTATCATATTTGATCACAAACGTCACGTCGCCATGTTAACTTGAGACTGCCGTCATGCAATGGGCGGGACTACCGCTACCTGCAGCTTGTGTTTTATTTGTCACAATTTCAAGTTCAAAAAACTTCAGAGCATAAAAACAGAAATTTTTTAACACTCCCGCGCGCGCACACGCACGCATATAAACAGACAGTTGCGTCATATACAAAGCTGCGTGTAAGAGTCTGTATTGATTATTGATCATCAGATCAACACGAAACTTTCACACCTTCGTTCGTCCACTCTGAGCTCTGAGGGAGCCTCAGGAATGGAAACGACATTTTTTCGCCTGATCTGTTCCAGAGCAGGTTAGATTAACAGCATCAGTTACCATGGTGATTTACCTCAACAAGTAGTGAATCAGCTTCATAGTTAGGTGAAGTTACCTGGGTTTTAGTGGCGATGTGGGCCCCCCTAAAGATCGGAGGGTTTGAGGGTCATCAGAGAGGATGAGTTTGTCTGGACCGAAGTCCTGCACTTCTAAAATAACAAGCATAAAGCAGAACAACAGGAGACTAAATCTGAGTAAGAACAACACAAAAGCACTCAGAGTTCATCCTGATATCAAAGCCAGAGAATAAGAAGACCCGATCCCCTCTGTGCTTTCATCTGGACCACAGTCATCCACTGTGCAAACTTCAGAAATCAGAGAGGGAACAAGAAACTAGAAAAGAATAGAATGGGCCTTTATTTTTCAGACTCAACGAAACGAGGTTGTTTTCCCACCGCGGAGCACCCGGGTTTACCTCCATTCTTGCCGGTCAGCTCTTTTTTGCTTCCGAGGCCTCATCGGAGGAAGCAAGCAGGCTTTTTTGTGCTGCTTTGCCGGCTTCGCAGAGAACTGGATCTTCAGGGGCTTTACTCTTGGGCTGCTGCCAGTAAAATACGCTTGAGACTTGTTGGAGCTGGTTTAATCCCCACAACCCCCTGTGTTTACCATCCGGGTTGTCACCTGAAAGCATGGAAAGCCACGGCTCATCACAATAGGAACCCTGATTTACTGTGTGGCTTACTGCACTGTGCGGACTCCGCTCCAGGCTATTCTACAACTGTCCCGGTGGGTCTCAACATTAAAATGATGTTAATTAATGCCCGCTCAATTGCCAACAAGTCTTATATTTTAAATGACTTGTTCTGTGCAGAGACGCTTGATTTAATGTTTGTCTATGAGACCTGGCAGCGTGAGAATGAAGTCTCACATCTTTTAGAGCTATGTCCCACAGACTGTTTATTTCTCTGTGCGCCTCGGATATCTCGACGAGGAGGTGGAACAAGCTGTAATTTTTAAAAAGACATTTTCATACCAGTTGATTTCTTCGAGCTGTTACAACTCTTTCGAGATGGTTATGATAAAAATTGGAAGAGATCAGCCCATGTACGGTATCTTAATTTATCGTCCACCTGGGTCTGCTGCGTCTTTTCTGGCAGACTTGAAAGAATTTTTAACTTCCACTATTAAACTGGGCAAGGTCATCATTATTGGAGACTTCAACATTCATGCAGAGGACTCATCAAATAGTACCACTAAGGAGTTCCTGAGCATCATGGACTCTTAATTTTGTTCAGCATGTATCAGGCCCTACTCACACTGCTGGGCACACTCTGGACTTGGTCTTCACTTATGGCGTTTCCCTTGACCACTTGAATTTAAATGACGTTGTCTTTAGCCACCATAAGTCAGTCTCTTTTAATGTGTTCGTCAACTCAGAGTCTCTTCCCCAAGATTTTGTTAGGTGCAGGGCCTTTATTGATGACTCTGTTATTTCTAAATTTTCTTCCCTTTTTGATTTTAAAACTTCTTTTGACGATGTTGAGCTCCTTATTAACTCTTTTAATGAACACTGTCTTGCTATTGTCAATCAGGTTGCTCCTTTCAAAGCTAGGCATTGCTCTGTTAGTTCCCGCACACCCTGGTTAAATAATCAAACTCGTGGTCTTCGATGCTCCTGTCAAAAAGAAGAGCGTCTCTGGAAGTCCACTGGTCTGGTTGTCCGCTGCTCTCGCCGGCTGGAGTGACCATTGAACCCCCCGGCTTGTTATCGAGCGGGTGGGTAACAGACGTCTCTGAAAACGTCAGCACACTTTTGCAAACGTACGATGTCTTGACAAACCAAGAAGATATTTGTAATTTACGCAGCTACTTTCTTGCCTGAAAATATGTTAAGTTTATTTTGTGACCCAGAAAGATTAATAAGACTAATTTTAAAACTTAGTAGCGGCCGCCATTGTTGGCAGCTGAAATTTGGCTGGGCCGCGCTATGAATTCTGGGATATGGTGGGACACGAAGGACACACCCGACCCATCCTTCAAATTTGGGGAAATGAAGGACACATTTGTCGGCCGCATTGGGACAGCCTTCGTCGCCTGGCTGTGACGTAGTCGGCCTTCAAATGCGGCCTCCGGAGGATGCAGCCGACGTTTTGGGACACAGCTTACGTTTGGTTGACTCTGTGGAATCCTTTAACCCTGGAGAACCCATGGGGTCAGAGCCGACCCCATGGGTTCTCCAGGGTTAAAAAGCAGTTAAAAACTTTTTTGTTTAAACAGGCCTTCTGCTAATCAACAATTTTGAATTGTTTTGAATTTGCATTGTTTATATTGTCTATTTTATTACTTAATATTTTCTTTATTTTGACCTTTGTGTACAGTGCTTTGTGACTGCCTGTCTACGAAAAGCACTTAATAAATAAACTTTACTTATTATGGGCGCTCCCCGCCAACCTGCCGGAGTTCAAATGTAAATAGTAAATACACGTTGGGAATAAATGACACACAAAAATAGGAAAGGCACACAGCGGAGAGCAAAGAAAAGAATTGGACTGAATGTGTGAGTGTCCTGAGTGATGGGGGTCACACAGGCCATGGCTCAGATGGGTGGGTGGAGTGTATTTGCTAAATCAATCGTGAAGGTAGCATTTTTTTAATGTTTGTGATTCAGAATTTCATGTTGAGAAGAATTCTACATGCTTTATTGTGATGGCAGTGAAAGTGTCGTCTGTTGGGTTCAAACATTGCATCAGATTTCAAAATGATCTTTCACACAGTCTATATAAATGCAGGAAGCCAGGAGGTGGAGAAGGAGGCCTGCATTATGCCTTAGTGATCAACCACATCACACCTGAAGTACTCCAGTGTTTACTCCAGTGTTTCAGCACACACAGGTCGTGAGCTGTGTGTGGCACAGTTCCTTGTATCACCTGTTTACTGTTCACTTGGATTTACCTGACCCACTCTCTGTTCTCTGGCAGGTGCATTTGCTCACAAAACAGGACGTGCCATGATGGAGGACAGCGGAGGGAGGAAGACCAGAGAGGGCGAGGACGAGGAGACGGTGAGCTCAGTCGTGACCGAGACGAGCACGCTGCCGTGGTCTGCAGACAGACAGACGGGTGGACGGACAGGTAAAGCTGACAGGATGAGCGTGAGGTCAGGTGTGTTTCTTCCCGAGGCGTCGAGCTGCACAGAGAGCGAAAGAGAACTGAAGGCAGAGGTGGAGAGGAGGTGCGGCAGAGCGGGTTTAGACGAAGGAGCGGAGCTACGTGAGGATAAAACTAGGGTACACCTGTTGGAGGAGGAGCCCCGAGAGAACCTCCTGCCAGAGAAAGCTGCTCAGGTGTTCAGGCCTGCAGTGACTGCCCTCCACTCCCCCTCCTCACTCAGAGAGTCTGGGCCGCTCCGGGAAATGGAGTCCGAGAAGAGTCCCTTCCTGGGTCCCCGAGGAGTTCCCGAGAACTACAATCAACATTATTACCTGGACGAGGAACTGCGCTCCAATAAACGTAAGTACTAACTCAGAGACTATGTCAGAAAATCACATCACCTTGCATCAGGAGGAAATGGTCAGGGGGTCGGGCACACCTGAACAGAACCACCTGAACCACCTTAAAATCTGTAGATTCTAGACGACGCTCAACTAAAACGACTGGAATGACTCGGATACTTAAACATATTAGTGAAACCAGTCCTTGACAATCACAAAAATGCAAATGTTGAGGTTTTTTTGGGGTTTTTTAAAAGTAAAGTAAATTTTTATTTATATAGCACCAAGATAAAATCACAAAGTGCTTCACAGAAGCAGAAATGGACATGAAACCTCAAACAAACAAAATCAACCAAAAACAAGTTTAAACAGGTTTTTAACTGCTTTTTAAAAGACATGACTGAGTCCACAGATCTCAAAGTGAAAGAGTCGTTTCAGAGTCTGGGAGCCACTGATACAAACGCTCTGTCACCTTTTGTTTTTAACCTTGTATGCTGGACAACCAGCAAACCTGGTCACAAGACCTCAGGGACCTGCTGGGACGATAAGGAAGAAGAAGATCACAGATGTAAGTTGGAGCTACACGGTGCAGGGCCCTATAAGTCATGATTATGATCTTAAAATGGACCCTGAACTTGACGGGGAGCCAGTGCAGTTGAATCAGCAGGGGCGTGACATGGGAGTATTTGGGATGCTTTGTCAGAAGCCTAGCAGCAGCATTTTGAACACCCTGCAGTCGTTCCAGGGAGGCATTACTTAAGCAAGTAAACAAGGAATTACAATAATCTAAGCGAGATGAAACAAAAGCATGAAGAATCATTTCCAATTCAGAGCGTGACACAATGGGACTCAGCAATATTTCTTAAATGGTAAAAACAGGAGCGAACCAAAGATTTAACGTGTGAGTCCAGCGTCAGAGCTGGGTCAAATTTAACACCAAGGTTACTAATGGAGGGTTTCATATAAGAAGCAAGAGGGCCTAGATTTTTAACCACTGGGGGAACAAATTTCTCAGGAGCAAAAACAATGACTTCAGTTTTACCAGCATTTAGTTAGTTGATAATTAGAAAAAAATTAGTTGATAATTATCAGCCAGCCGATCTCTAATGGAATCTAAGCAGGACTGCAAGATTTGGAGCTTAGAAACATCAGGTGGCCTAAAAGAGATAGCTGAATATCATTAGCATAACAATGATATGAAATATCAGAAAAAGAGCTACAAAGAGCCCCACAGGAGGATCAGAAAAAAAAGTTTTTAAAAATCAGAGGCTGATGAAGAACTCCCCATTAAACAGGAAGTTGGCTAATGCGTGCTCTGGCATTATCTGCCACCATGGAAGCTGTGGAGAATTGCTTATGCCATCACTCATTTAACCAATCACGTCAGGTTATACACTGCATACACTATTATATATTGTACATATATTTATTAGTTTCAGATGTAGCCATTCTTGTATTTGCTGGTTTGTGTTGTTGTGTTTGCACATTTCTGTTGCTTGTGGGCTCGCACACAAGAATTTCACTCGCATGTGCTGTGCCAGTGTGCCTGCACATGCGATGTGACAATAAAAGTGATTTGATTTGATTTGATTTGATTTGAGGTTTTGGGGCCTTTGGACAGGACAGCCATGCTAGTGCGTCCAAATCATATGACCATTTAAGATGACGTACCAGCAAGATGCAGTCTCACTGAGTCTCCGTTTGTGTTGACAGACCAAGTAAAGCTAGAGTTATGATAAATCATTCTCATTGTGCTTTTTCCTGAATACTGTCGTCAGATGTAGCGTACAGAGCAGTGGTAAAACTGGATGTTCTAAGGAATGCACTTTCAAGCAAAAACGAACAAACACCCTTTCCTATTGGTGGAAAAATGCACCACATCAACCAATCAAGAAATGATATGGCAACACGTGCCATTTGTTTGCTTACAAAGAGGGGGAAAGTGGGAATGATTTTGATGTTTAGCATGTTTGAAGTGTGTCTACGGTGTTTGGCTTTTGTTCTTTTTTTGCGTGTCACAGCAGCGAGGTGACGGCTGAATGTCACTGACTGAAATCTCCATGTGGAAAACAGAAGTGATACACCTGAGGTTTTAGGCCTGTGATGAGCTCCTCTGCCTTTTGCTGGACAGAACTAGTTTTTGGAACAACACAAATAATTTGTGTGACACCTGATTGCTTTGTGCAAAAAAACGGCAGAGACTGTTAACAGTTGCACAGAACTTTTATTTTTTCATCACAAGTTCTGAAAATGATTTGTTGAACATGTTTTCTGCTTTGATTTTCTTTTAAGGTTAGTTGTGTCACTACAGTATGTCAAAATGAAAACATGACTGTAAATTCAGACACGTGAAGTTGTGCACAAAAGACTGATGCCAAACATGGTGAGGGAGTCGAAAACAGCAGGTTCTACCCTGGACTCCAGGGGGTTTAATTACCTGCCCCTGTTTATACACCTGTGCACCTCTGACTGCTGACTCTGCCTCCATTAACTCATTTTTCTCATCTGTGTCAGGAGGGCAGTGCTGTCTCAGTACGGATGTCCTGAAGATGGGCGTGTCTCTGATGGCCTCGGCGTTCTTTTTCCCTTTACTCGTCTGGGGTGGTTTTGTGTTTCTGCCATTTGACGCCCCGCTGCTGGATGGTGCCCCCCTCCGGCTCGTCTACACGCTGCGCTGCTCTGTGTTCGCTGCCACCCCCATCGTCCTTGGTGAGTCACATACCACCGAAAAAGAGATGCAGAATCTCACCTGTCTCACCTGTGTGCGTCTCACCTGTTCTTTAGGTTGGCTTGTTCTGGGCATCTCACGGCTAAGGTCAGGTGTGCTTCGTCCTCTGTTTGATGATGAGATAAAGGAGGCGGAGCTACAGGAAGTCACTGTCCACCAGCGCTTCATCTCTGACTCTGCCTCGCTGTTCCTGATTTACTTCCTGCAGCTGGTCGTTATGGCGATGTACCTTAGCCAGGAGCAGCTGAAGCTTGTGCCACTCCTGACCATCCTCTTTGCTTTTGGAAGGTGAGGATCCATCCACAATGTGATCAGTCGATAACGACATCGATTGATGAATCTAATGGCGCTTCCGTGTCTACACAGGTTGGCGTACTGGGTCGCCGCGGCATTTGGCAGCAGCATTCGTGGATTTGGTTTTGGCATCTCCTTCCTGCCAAGTATCATCATGATGGGAGCAAACTTCTACTTCATCTTCACGATGGATGCGGCGAGTTCCATTTTCAGTGTTCCCCATGACGAGGCACCGCCTCAACCAGCAGGCCGACAACGGTTTTGGGGATAAGACACAAGCAGTGATTGATGATTGTCATTATCGATTGAAAAGTAAAATCTGTCTTTATTTTGAGGTTTAAATGCTTTAAAATGACCAGGCGTAGCCCTGCCCAGCTGGTGTGCGCGGCTCTTGTTTTTTCCTTTATTAAACTGCTTCCTGTTCTCTGCAGCTTCCTGTTGATCTTTTTTTTCTGTTTTATTTTCTACAATTGTTTTTATGATCAATAAATTAAAGAAAAGAGACTAATTTACAAATTTTCACAATAAAAGTTGGAAACTATCACATCGTTTCCTGTCTGCAGTGTTTCAGAATAATGTTGGTACAACAAACCTTTTTTTTTTTTTTCAAAGGACATGACAAAATATGTGATTTAGGGAATAAAATAAACTGATTATTATTTATGTTACAATTAGATATTTAGATTTTAATTTATATTTATTTACAAAGTTTTTTTTTTTTTGCACACTGCAGCCTGTCAGTGTTGATGATTAATCATCTGCTGCTGTGAAGCTGATTTTTCTAGTTAAACTGGTCAAACTGTCATATGAAATCTGAGCACAGGAAGTACTCACACCCTGACTTCACAATAAAAGGATAATGTTTTTTATTTTGGATAAATAAGAATCTTAAATTTATCGTGAAGTATCAAGAGTCGATAATTTTTGTCCCTCTTTATCAGTATTTATAATTTGATAAGCAGAAATGACACAGGAGGATAAAGGGTTGAAATGCTTGTTGCTCTGAGGCATCGGAAACAGTATGCGTCATTATATATAAACACAGTTTCCGGTGACACAAACTAATGAGATCAATCGCAGTGATCAATAATCACGAGATCATTTACGGTTGACAGGAAGCAATTTTCTGTCTTCGCCATTCTGTCTACAGGGAAGCTTTTATTTTGAAGGCTCAGGTGTGTGAGGCTTTTGCAGGTAGACTGCCTTTTTTTTTTTTTTTTATTGTCACGGACTGAAGGAACTTCCGAGAGCAGCACTGCCATTTGTTCCTGCAAGATCGGCTCATTTACACCACATCCTGCCACTAAAAACGCCAAACAGAGAAGTTTTCTTCATGGAGTCCGTACCTGTGAGGAGGCGGTCCTGCCTGCTGCGCTTCAGAGAGCGCTGTCCGTTCAGGAAGCTCTGCAGACGCACGTACGGTCAGTAATCTCTGTTTAAATAAAGCTCAGTGAAACTGCTTTTGTAATCAGCTTTCAATAAACTTTAACAATAGGTGTGTTTTAACGTCATTAACGTGTTTAACCCTGATGAGGTCATCAGAGGCTGCAGGGCTACTCTGGGGGAGAGGCAGGGATCACCTGGACAGGTGAGAAGTGTATACTTCACCTGAGTAGAAACGCCATAACAGGTCTAAATTAAAGCTGCTGACCTTCAAAACAGATTCGAACTTGATCAAAATAACTGTGTACACCTGCGTGACAACCACTGTCTTAGCTTTCAGTTCTGGTTTTAACTCCAGTTCTTCTTCTGGTCTATTTTACAGTTGTGGTTCGGTTACAGTCCACTGTCAGAGGCCATCATTTGTAACCTTCACTAAAGCAGTTTCTGTGCTGTGATGAGCTCTGAAACCTGACTGAAACTCTTCAAATAAGCCTCTGCAGATGATCTGTTAGCTGTTTGACAACTACTGGCAATGGCAATGTAGCTTGCCATTGCCAGTGTGTGAATGGGTGAATGACTGAATGTAGTGTAAAGCGCTTTGGGGTCCTTAGGGACTGAGTAAAGTGCTATACAAATGCGGGCCATTTACCTTTTTACTCTTTCAAGAAAGTTTGATATGAAAGGAAGGTTGGAGATTGGCCTATAATTAGCTAAGACTGCTGGGTCTAGAGATGCTTTTTAAGTAAAGGTTTAACTACAGCCAGCTTGAAGGCCTGTGGTACATAGCTGATTATTAGAGATAGGTTGATCATATTTAAGATTGAAGCATTAATTAATGACAGGACTTCTTTGAGCAGTCTAAAAAGAGTTGTTACAAAGGGCATAAAGCACCTCGAGGTGACTCTTGTTGCGATTTGGCTGAATTGAACTGATTCCATTTCTATTTCCAGTCGTGATTTTGGTCAGAACAGAGAAAGAAATCAGTCTGTCCCAGAGGTTGCTGACTCTTTATCGCCTCCTGTTTCCTGTGGAACAGACATATCAGCAGCAGATTCGTCTCCTATTGATCTACCTTGGAATGATGTCAGATTTTCCTCCACCAAGCAGCCAATGCTTCAGATGTTCCCACATTTGGCCAGGTGTCAGAGTTTCTCTCCTCCTGACCAATCAGACGCAGACACTCACATGGAGGAAGATTTGTGTGCCGCAGAGAACCATCAGAACCACCAGAGTCACCAGAACCAGCAGCAGGACGCAGAGGGCAAAGCAGACAACCATATGGGTGAGGACTGCCTGTGCTTTTAGTTTGAGCCTGCAGAAGCTGAACTGAGGAGTTCAAAACCAGATTTTTAGACCTTTGAAAGGAATCGGTTAGTTTCTGTCTTTTTCTCTTTATTATTTATATTTATGATTTCCTTGGAGACACATGCTAAGCTAAAGGAGCCCAGTTAGCTCATTTAGTGGATTAATTTTTTTCCAGTGATGCATGAATTTTACCCAGACCTCACTGATGTTAACATCACAAATGGACCATAATGTACACTGACTGAGTGGGAAGCCGTGACCGCAGAGGTAACTGCTTCACCCAGGAGCTCAAAGGCTTGCCACTAGTTGAAATCTCTCTGATTTTTGTTTTGTTGCTTCTTCCTGTTTCAGAGCTCGATGATGACGTAGACCCAGAAACCGGAGAGAGAGCACAGGGTTGACCCCACCCCCTTTCTGTCAGGAACTGCTGCACCGCCCACATCACCTACACCTGGGGGAAGAAAGAAGCCTGTTGCACGATCATGACCTAAAACACTGTCAGAATTCTAAAAATGTTTAAAGAGAATCACGTTTAAAAATGAATTTAGACCAGTAACAGATATATTAGATGACAATAACAGGTAAAGTAACATTTCTATGAAGAAATATGTGAACTTCTTATGATGATTAATAAAGGTAAAATCAGAGTCAGGTGTTTTCAGTTGAGCTGTTTATATTCAATTCAATTCAGTTTTATTTATATAGCGCCAAATCACAACAGCAATAGCCTCAAGGCGCTTTAAGGTGCTTTATATTGTACAGTATTTAAAGAACTATCTATCTGAGTCTGATTTCCACAACATGTTGTGACTCATGACCAGATGAGAAGTGAGGATTTCAGAAAGAGACTTGTTGGTGGTCATTGGGCTGTAAGGGTTCCCAGAAGCTTCCCTACTTTTATATTTTTCATTTGTTGCATCAATCAGCATGCACTTTGTCACTCAGAGAGTAAAAGTCCTGAATTAGCAGCTAAGAACCAAAAACAGGTTCCAAGAACTTTGGCAGTTTGTACTTCCTGCAGCATGGAGTGACCACAACTACGAAAATGTTCCCGCAGTCCAAAAGCATCTATGGTGGGGTCATGGTTTGGGACTGCTTCAGTGCATACAGACCAGAACAGCTCACCATCACTGATGGAATGATGGATTTGGACTGAGAAGCAGGACATCTGCCTGTGGATTGAATCGTGCAGCAGAGACAACAACCCTCAGCTCACAAGGAGAACATTAAAGAAACGTTCACGTGAGGAGATGTGAAGCTCAGAGTCCTTGGGGCTATTGGCCATAGCAGAACCTGGAAGCAAAGGTTCAAATACTTGATGTGATACTGGACCAGTCGCCTCAAGATGCTTTGTATTGTAAGTTAGACCATACAATAATTTAACATTGATAACCCCAACAATCATATGACCCCCTATGAGCAAACACTTTGACGACAGTGGGAAAGAAAAACTCCCTTTTAACAGGAAGAAACCTCCGGCAGAACCAGGATCAGGGAGGGGCGGGCCATTGATTGGTTGGGGTGCGAGAAGGAAGACAGGATAAAGACATGCTGTGGAAGAGAGACAGAGGTTAATAACAGATATGATTCAATGCAGAGAGGTCTGTTAACACATAGTGAGTGAGAAAGGTGACTGGAAAGGAAAAACTCAATGCATCATGGGAATCCCCGGCAGCCTACGTCTATTGCAGCATAACTAAGGGAGGATTCAGGGCCACCTGGTCCAGCCCTAACTATATGCTTTAGCAAAAAGGAAAGTTTGAAGCCTAATCTTGAAAGTAGAGATAGTGTCTGTCTCCTGAATCCAAACTGGAAGCTGGTTCCACAGAAGAGGGCCTGAAAACTGAAGGCTCTGCCTCCCATTCTACTTTTAAATACTCTAGGAACAACAAGTAGGCCTGCAGAGCGAGAGCGAAGTGCTCTAATGGGGTGATATGGTACTTTACGGTCATTAGGGAGCATTCACCCCATGATCGTTGAGGGTTGAGGGTTCAAATCCACCGAAGGCTACCTGCGGTATCCCTGAGCAAGGTACCGTTCCTACACATTGCTTCCTGGGTGCTGGATTGGCTTCACACTGCTTCACTGAGTGAATCGGTTAAATGCAGAGAGTAATTTCCCTACAGGGAAAATCCAGTTTTGAGATCCTTCCCAGACACCTTAACGCCCACTCACATCTAGGTTTCACAATGAGGTCACCCGAAACCCTGGCTGATTGTGACCCACACCCGTTTTCACACCTTGGGTTGTGTGATTAGGTAGAGGTTTATTAGGGGGTCCATTGTCCCTCTTGGAAGATTACTCCCACAGGGCTTAAATCTGGGACTCTCCACTACTTGACCCTTAGAACTGAAAAAGCTTGTTGGATGAGAGGTGAAACGTCTTAAAGCAACTTAAAGAAGTCCAGACGCTTTTCTTTCCAAGCTCCTTAGACTACGATAACCTGGATGACTGAGAACCTTCACAGACATACAGGGGAAAGTATACAAAAAAAAAAGATAAGATGGGGCCTGATTGAATCAGTTATGATTAGTATCATCAGTAAATAAAGTAGCAGGTCTGACTGGATTCTCTTTAAATGCTTTTAGGGCTTGTTTAGGTTTAGGAAGGTTTAGGTCGTACTACAGAAAGGGAGGAAAATGTTAAAGGCTTTAATCTTTTTACTGCAACAGAAACACCTCCATTAATTGTTTGTCTGTTTTACAAAGAACCTGAAACCTGAATCAGGTTTTGTTTTGTGTACAAGAAGTGTCACTCATCTGCTGCAGGTAAAGCCGCACTCAGACATCAGTATAAAAGGTTCTGCTGTCCCTGTGACAGAGTATTGGCACCAGGGCATGGCATTCAAAAGGAAAGCTTTTGTGTAAGAAGCACATGAATGCAGTCCAGGCAAGAAACTTGCAACATGTCAGAGGACGATGTGACCTTTGACCTGCTGACAATAAATCTTTTCCCACAAAGTTCTGACTTTCCCATAAAAAAATTCCCGTAAGAAGTTCTGACTTTCCCATCCCATAACATCTTTCCTCAGAATGTGACCGAGCTTTTGATTTTTCTAAGATTATTTAACTTCGTTTGAAAACATGAAGTTCCCGGTGGCTGATTTCTGGTCAATAAAATGATCGATTTATCTGATTTTAACATTTTGTGAGGTGATAAAATAAAAAGGTGATTTCTGTGGTGCAGATTTAATAATTTCCTTAGGGATCAGTATACTTTTTTAGTATGCTGATCCCTAAGGAAATCTTACTTTTTTAGTATGCTGATTCTGCTTGATGAATCCCAACTCGTTTAAACTTTTGTCCTTAGGTCTGATTCTAATGTACGGTCATCTTATTGATTACTGAACTATTGATGACAATGTGATGGCTCTATAAAACTGAATGTTTGGCGTTGTTCCTCTGCTTTTGTGTGAACAATAAAGCTATTCAATACCGGGTATTTTGTGTTGTATCCCATCCATCCATTTTCTTCCACTTTTCCAGATCGCAGGTCGTTGGTCGGGCAAACAGCCTAAGGAGATAAATCAAGGGTTAGGGTTAAGCTCCTTTTTGCTCGACATCACCAACAAAGCCAGATTAGGCAGCAAAGTAACCAGACTAATATTAACATTAGTGTAACTGGTCCAGATGTTTGAGTGTAAAAGTGATATGCACTGGAGTTTCGTATCCTCCACGCAGCATTCCCAGCCTGTGTCCATATTTCAGATTGTTCTGTTTGTGGATAAGTTGGTATCATTAATTATTGATTAAGTCTTAATCTCTCTGTAACGTTAACGTCAATCTTTGATCGGTGTGCATCACAAAGTACAGCTTTAAAAGCCATCTGGTCCTTCAAGTTATTGTGTCCCCACAAACATTTTTTTTCTGTTTCTGTTGTTTTGTAGCATGTTTATATCAGCTGGTGTTTTCTTAGATCACACCTACAGGTGTTAATGTTTACATGTTCACTTATCCTTATTAGGATAATCAGGAGAAGAGAATGAACGTGGACTCTGCTGTTCTAAGTTGAACAGCAGAGTGCAGCTCACACCTGTACTTCCTGATGAAAGGCTCAGCGGCTTTATTCAGAGGAGTTTGGGATCAATCATACATGAACTCCGGTGTAACATCTTCCACTTAGTTTGGCACTTTTGCAGTAAAATATTTTCTACAATAATCCGTTTGATGTGTCAGCAACACCAGAGAACATGAAATCATGGAAAACTTCTTTATTGACTTAAAAAACAAAAAGACAACATAATATTAAATCTTCTGAACGTTAATATTTACAGATTTTTTATGGACAGTAAACACATCAGTGTTTGCTTTCTTTTATTTTTAATAAAAGACGCGTTGCTTTTTCATTGGATAAGATCTTCTGACTGGTTAATATCAGTCTTCCGTTTCATTGGCTGCTTCTGTCTCAATGGGCGGGGCTTCATCCTCTGAGCTGGTCTGACGTGCTGCTGTCCGAAACAAATGCATCAAATCCCGAAACCTGCGGGACACCTGAAGACACGACAAGAAGTTAATAAAGTGAGCAGTTGACAAACCGACCAATCATGCTGGAAGAACACTGAACAGCCAATCACCTCGCTGGGAGTCTTGTTGCCGAGCAGGCTGGAAATGGCCTGAAATGTGTTCTGATTGGCTCCTTCTTGCTGACATGTCTTCAAGATGACCCGGTCTGCTTCTCTGAAAAATAAACAAACAGTCAGGCCTTCCATAGGTGCCTCCTAACTCCTTTTCCTAATCACCTTTCCTTCGTCGAGGTGAAAGAAAGTACCTTGTCCACAGGATCACTTTCTCCCCGCTCGCAGTCAGAGAAATGTTTTTGGCACAGACAGGGAGGTCAGGAGGAAGAGGAGCTAACCGAGGAGGAGTGCAGAAGGCTGCAGACGTGGAGGAAGCTGTAGTGGAGGGCGGAGCTACAGAGGAGGAAGTAGAGATCGTGGAGGTGCAGGTAGAGGTGATGGAGAGGGTCACAGGTGGCGGTTGCAGTGTCTCCTCTCTCCTGCTCCTCTTTGCTGCTGGGCTCTGTTCCTTTTTCCTCTCCTCCTCTTCTTCCTCACCCTCCTCTTCCTCCTCTTTTGTATCAGCCAGTGGAAACGAGCCTTCCCATGATGCATCACACCGATCTGTCAACACAAACAATAAAGTTATTTAAAGCAAACACGCACCTGTCTGCTAAAGGACCAACAGAGGATCGTGTGACATACCTGGCAGGGGACTGTCGTCGCCCCCCTTCAGGTCCAGGTCTTTGTTAGCTGGTTCATCATGGGTAGCACTTATCTGAGAGTAGAGTGGGTCCAGACTCTTCATGGCCCTGGACACGCCCCCTGAGGTCTAGAGGAGAGATGAACAGGTAATTCAGGTGTAATTCTTTCTAAGCATTTCACCCTTGGTGAAACATACAGACATACCTTATTGCCATGGCAGCGGGTGCATCCTTTCCTCTTGTGTTTCTGGATCTTTGAATCACGACAAGGGCAGACCCAGTCTTTATCGGACCAATCACAGCCCTGCAAAGAATAGTGTAAATCTGTCCAATCACAGGGTTGAAAACAGTAACAATGTAAATCTGACCAATCACAGGGCTGAAAACACAGCTGCTCATTGTGACAGGACGTCAGCAGAAATAAGCAAACAATCCTGGATCCCGACTTTCAAAAGATCTGGAGTCATAACGGATCCAGATTTCCAAAAAAACAGACGTGGAATCTGACTTTGGAACGCTCTGGATTGTTTTTTTCTACAAACGACCTGGAGTACAGCTCTCCCCTAAAAGATTGATAAAAAGGAGCAGAGACAGGAAATAATCTGACCCCCTTCAGACCTTGTAGTTTCTGTGAGAGTCCATCTTCCTTCTCTGACGCCGGTTTGTCATTGGTTGGATCTTATGTCCCTCCTCTTCCTCTTCTAGTTCTGGCAACGTCACCTCCTCAAACCCGCCACTGGCCCCGCCTCCTGAATTTTGGCTGACGCCCTCTCCACCTTCCAACCCGCCGCCTCCATCTTCTGGCCAATGGGTTTCTTCAAACTGTCCAGGATGCGCTGGAGGTGGGCGGAGCTCGTCAAAAAACACCCAGAATTCAGCTTGTAAATGGGTGTGGCCTTTGAGCAGCATAGACATCTGAGCTTTGAGCTGAAAACATGAAACAGCTGAGATTAGCACAGGTTAGTTCCACCTGTCTGGTTAATCTGGTTCAAAGACCTCGTACCTCGTGGACGCTGGTGGGACTGAGGTCCTGGCCTATCTGCAGAGCTTTGATGATCTTCTGGTAATGCGACGGATTGTCTCCAAAGCTGATCTCCAGCTGTCGAAGGAAACGGCGGCTCCGCTCAAACGCCTGCTGCTCGTCGAACTGCAGAAGCATGAAGAGTGAAAACACCGTTAAATTCTTGTGACCTGCGAATGGACGGAGGCATGACGTGAACTCGTTGTTACTGAGCTAAAAAGCTGCAGTGATACGGATACTTGCACGGAGCACATGAAATGAGGCACGGGGACGTTTGTTTATTCAAACTGCGCCGCTCGAGTTCTGCAGCACACCGCTGACATGCAGTTTTTTTACTTGCTGTTTAAGAATCCATAGTGCTTTGTTCTGATGCTGGAACGCCATCTGTAACTGCACGATGGCAGACTGAGTGCGTGCACTCATGCCCCAGCTCGCCCGAACAGATGGGCGCAGTCCAAACATGCTCGAGCATGGCGGCCTGTACAGAGGAAGCAGTTGCGTCAGCCTCTACAGACATTCACTGTCCTGCTGGCAGCTACGGCAACTCTTAAGGTGGAATCCTGCTGATCCGTCTGCCACTGACTGATGTTCCCCTGGTCCCAGCTCCTATATTTGTTCCACTTTTAACAGTAATACACAAAACTCTGGACTAGGACCTTTCTCTCCCACAGTCAACACAATACCCGTCATAATCACAAACAGAGAGCAACAGAATTATCTAAAATATAACAGGACACTGGTGTAAACTCTCGACCATCTCACACTTCTGTTTAATTTTTCCTGTTTTCTGTCTGACGTTTATTCAGCTGTGTGAAAAAAACCCGGGGGATTAATAAAGTTTTATTTTATCTAATCTAATAACTTTAATCTCAGCCAAACCGATTTACTCACGAACAAATAAATGGTAAATGGCCTGTATTTGTATAGCGCTTTACTAGTCCCTAAGGACCCCAAAGCGCTTTACACATTCAGTCATCCACCCATTCACACACACATTCACACACTGGTGATGGCAAGCTACATTGTAGCCACAGCCACCCTGGGGCGCACTGACAGAGGCGAGGCTGCCGGACACTGGCGCCACCGGGCCCTCTGACCACCACCAGTAGGCAACGGGTGAAGTGTCTTGCCCAAGGACACAACGACCGAGACTGTCCAAGCCAGGGCTCGAACCGGCAACCTTCCGATTACAAGACGAACTCCAACTCTTGAGCCACGAATCGCCCCGGAGAGAGCAGCTGCTGCCAGATGTTCTAAACATCAGACTCCAGCTGCTTCTCTCTGTGGTTTCATGAAGCTCCAGATGTTTCCATGGGTGATGCGATTGTGGTGATATTTTAAATTTTTTTTAAAAACTGTGTTTTTTAACATGTGTTTGTATGTTTCTAAGCTGAGCATCATGCACTGGGATGCAACTATCAGTACCGTAAAGCCTGTGGCACGTTGAACTTAGGGCCAGTCTGTGACGGGGGCTCCTCTTCCTCATGCTCCTCCTCCTCAGCCACCACCTCTTCTTCTTCCTGGAGCTGCAGAGGAGAGGAAAACAAGAAAAAGTTTGAAGCTTCGCCCACATACTGACGTTAAAGACTAATCCTGTGAGTGTAAAGTGGCATCGAGTCAAATTTGCGGAAACAAAATAAGAACTCACAGTTTCAAAGAGTTCTTCTAGCAGCTCATTTACTTCCTTCTCTGAAAAACAAGACGCAGAATTCACAGTGAGGATTCTGACACTCTCAAAGCTCCGCCTCCTCCTAACTGCACATCACTTACTGGTGATCTGCACAGCCCGGTCCGTCCTGTAGTCCTCCAGGTCGGGTTCATCCAGGTCCTCTGGGAAGTTGTACTCGGGGTCGTCGTCATCTTCGGCCTCTTCTGAAAACAAACATCAGCTGTTTGCCGTTAGACAAAACCATAACCTTCCTTTTCAACTCAAAAACATTTTTCTGAGCTTGTTTTCCATTTACGACATATCAATAAAGTTTGTCCAATCCTGGATGTTCACCACCAGCATGCTTCAGCAGCTTGACTTTTAAAAATTAAAACAAAACAAAACAAAACAGGTTCACAATTGGTAAATGGACTGATTCTTATATACCGTATTTTCACGACCATAAGGCGCACTTAAAAGTCTTAGATTTTCTTCAAAAAGTGCGGCGCGCCCTATAGCGCGGTGCGCCCTATGTGTTGTAAGGAGGACGTAGTAGAGAACACCATGAGAACGTTAAAGGGTGAAGTGTGGGCGTTGATCGTATATACCGGGACAATCGCACATACCTGTATAAAAGAACAGGTATGTGCATTATGCAGGACATCGTTGTTTTAACAACCCTGAAAATGGCAAAGAGACACGCTTACGAAGCACAGTTTAAACTGAAGGCCATCAGCTACGCGGAGGAACATGGAAATCGAGCAGCGGCGAGAGAATTTAAGATTAACGAATCGATGGTTCGCAAATGGAGGAAGCTAGAAAACAAGCTCCGGCAGGTCAAGAAAACGCAGCTGAGTTTCCGCGGACATAAGGCGAGGTGGCCCGAGTTGGAGGAAAGACTCGAGCGGTGGATCATCGAGCAAAGAACGAGCGGGAGAAGCGTTTCGACGGTCACCATTCGGCTAAAAGCAGTTTCACTTTCACTTTTTATGAAACGGTGCCATTTTTCCATCCGGACCAGGACTACGGTAGCGCAGCAACTTCCAGCGGATTATAAGGAAAAGCTGGCCATCTTCCGCTCCTACTGCAGCAAACACATCGGCGACAAAAACATCCAGCCCAGCCACATCACAAACATGGACGAGGTCCGCTCACTTTTGACATCCCGGTGAGTCACACTGTGGAGAAGAAGGGGACCAGCACGGTAGCGATACGCACAACGGGGTATGAAAAGTCTTCTTTTACTGTTGTGCTTGGCTGCCATGCTAATGGACAGAAACTGCCGCCTATGGTGATTTTTAAGCGAAAGACTTTGCCTAAAGAGAAGTTTCCAGCAGGAATCATCATTAAGGCAAATGAAAAGGGCTGGATGGATGAGGAAATGATGAAAGAGTGGCTGAGGGAGGTGTATGTAAGGAGACCAGGTGGTTTTTTCCACGCATCACCATCGCTCTTAATCTGTGACTCTATGCGTGCCCATCTCACAGCCGATGTGAAAAAACTAGTGAAACAAATGAACTGTGAGCTTGCTGTCATTCCGGGAGGCCTGACAAAGGAACTCCAACCGCTGGACATCGGTGTGAACCGCCCGTTCAAAGTAAGGCTGCGAGCGGCCTGGGAGCGATGGATGACCGATGGAGACCACAGTTTCACTAAGAGTGGAAGGCAGCGCCGGGCGAGTTACGCCACAATTTGCCAATGGATTGTAGATGCTTGGGCTAACATGTCTGCTGGCACTGTTGTTCGAGCTTTCGCAAAAGCCGGCATCGTTTCCGAGGAGCCGCACGGCACGGAAAGTGACTCTGACGGTGAAGACAGTGAACCTGGCATGTTTGATGGAGATTTAGCGCAGCTGTTCAATTCAGACACAGAGGATGAGGACTTCGATGGGTTTGATTGATGATAAAAATGTGAGTACCAAACTTTGTTTTGCTCCTGCTTTATTTTTAAATATGCACACTTGTATGCTTGTGTGTTGTTGATGATGACGATTACCGGCAATAAAAATGTGAGTAAGGTACCGAACTTCAGTTTGCTCCCCTTTATGTCCTTCTAAATACAATCGCATACGGTACTTGTATGCGCCCTATGGTCCAGTGCGCCTTATGTGTGTGTTAAATACAGTAAGGGCACACATAACTGAGACTGC